GGGTCATAAGTCTAAGGCAATGCTAGCCTAACCTAGACTAAGGACGTCATGCTTACGATTAAGGAAAAACAAGGCATGCAACACATAGCATACAATAGCATTTAGCACATAAGCATGCAACTCTACTAAACCGGTTAACATGATACTACACCTTAATATGGCCAATCGATCCTAACATGAGGTATCTAATCAAAGTAAGGTAGGAAACTAGTACCCACCCCCAATTCACTCTAATCGACATGCTTTTACACAATTAAGCTCAATCAAAAAGAAAGAAAGTCGTAGCCTACCTTAAGGCTGACCGCGCGCACTCCAAATCACTTTATCGGAGCTTTTCCTTCTCAAATGACCCTTGAACGCTGTCACTCTATCAAATATAGGATCACAACATTATTACGGTCGTTTAAACACCAAAATCACAACAAACGGAGATGGGTCAATTTTGGAGTCACAACGAAAATCGTGGGACCCGCACTGAACTGTCTAAAATTAACTCCGTCAAGAGACCCTAAACAGCACCCCGAACTTGTGTTCAGAAATGGAACACAATTCAAGGCTCAAAACACAGCAAAAACCAACAAGCAAGAAAACCACATTTTAATCAACTTAAAAGAAAACAGCAGCAGTCTAAACTCGGAATTAACGAAAATCAAAAAGTTCCCAGCACTCTTTGAACACTCTAAGAGGTAGCCACGATAAATCCCAACATGTGGGACTTCGAATCACCCAAAACCGAGCTAAAATGAGTGAGATATGACCAAAACAAGAATGCCAAAAATAAAGGCTCGAAAAAGGGTACAACAGTCAGGTTAATTACAAAATTACCTCAAACTACGCGCACCTGACAACATTCGAACACTCTACAGCAAAGCCACCGAGAATACGAAGCTCCAGCACTTCGAATCACATAAATCGGTTGAGAGATGAGAGAGAGATGAGGGTTTTAAGTTTGGAAAAGTTGGCTGATATAACATTTATAGCAGATATTTCTGCAATTTTTTTCTAAAACATAAAAACTCCGACGAGGTGCTCCGAACTCGTTCGGAACCCAGTGCACGCAAACGAGATATGCAACAATACCAAATTCGATATTTCGGACTCAATGGCGCAGTCAAAATTTCTATACGAGGTCATCTTGACAAAAAGTGGGTCCCACACCCAAATGCCATTTTAAGTCAAAAACCATAAAAGGGCTCGAAAAAATATCGAAAACCTCGAGACACAAAAGAAGGGTTAGTCTAGACCAAACTTGACATACCGGAGCTAACCGCACTGACGAAATTCTCATCCGAGCGCGTTTACTTAGAATGTTCACTAAAGTCAAACTTTGGCTTAAAGTTAAAGTTAAAACGCCTAATCGCACCGACTCACACTGAAAACCTCGGGAGTCATGCCGACCATGCTACAAGCCTTAAATGACAGAAATGACTAGAAGGGTCATTACAAATGTATCCCTTAAGAAACGACTTTATAAACAAGTCTCCCTCTTTTTTTCACTAACAAAGCCTTCTCTGTATACAAAAGATTCCTTTAATATTTTCAGATGGTGAGAGAAAACAGTGTTTCAGCTATGGCGACGACAAATGTAACCCCATTTTGAGGTTTGATATAGAGGTGTGAGGAAGAGGCCAAAGGGAAAGTATAGAACTGATATTACAAACTCATCTATAAGGTACGTGTCTAGCTTGGGACCTTTGATATGAAAGAAGAAGCAGCAAGAGCATATGATAATGCGGGGAGGATATTATTTTGACGAAATTGAGTCAAGTTTGAATCCACTTAAAAGTGTAAACGATGAACCAAATCATAATGAAGCTTCTGGAAAGTCATCTATGTTTCCACAACAAGGTAAACCTGTTGGAGGCTCCACAATAGAACCATTGACTACTTTAGAGAAAACTCAAGCTCATCGATATGTGTTACTTAATTGCGCAGCAGTGAAGCCATTCATTGAGTATGAAATTTAAATTGATTTTGATTTTTACGAAATGTGTAGAATAATCAGGTAAAAATTTAATATATATATAACAATTTTGTAGTGAATTCAGAAAGTACATCAAAAGAAGTACAAGAGGTCGAAGAGTTTCAACAACAGAGGTAAAGAAGAGAGTTAGTAAAGAGTTTCCTGATTGGTTTCCTAAGCGAGTGAGTAAATAATTTTAGAATGTTTGTTTTGAATATATTTATTTGTCAATTTAGTATCTCTGACAGATATATTATGTTTGTTTAGATTATGAACCCATATATCGCAGAAACTATCTCTGATGATATGAAGTTTATAACACAAGGTCCTGCACAAGATGCAAGAAGATTTAGTGCTTATAACATTAATGGATTCAAATTTCAAACTTTATCTAGAGAACAAGGATCAAAAACTCAAAATAGTGGAGTTTTTCTCATCTCTGACAATTTTTGTATTGCGTCTAGTGTAGATAGGTGTGCAAGACAAGCGGACCTGCCATATTATGGAAAGTTGGAAGAGATTATCGAGTTTAATTATTATGGCAGGTTCAAATTTATTCTTTTCAAGTGTCTATGGGCTGATACTACTCGAAATAGAGGGTACAAAATAGATGCTTGGAAGTTTAACTGTGTCAATTTTTCTAAATTGATTCACACTGGTGATCGCGAGGATCATGATCCATATATTGAAGCATCACAAGCAAATATGGTCTACTATGTTGATGATGAGACTGATAAAGAATGGAGTGTCGTTGTACATCTAAAGCCAAGAGATTTGTTTGAAATGGGAGAGGTTGATGAAGAGGATCTATACGAAAATGAGTCATACCAACAACAAGAATTTGGACAATTTTTTGATGATGACTACGAGAATATCCAAATTGCAATAGATGAGAATATGAATGAATGAAATAGCAAAGATTTGGATAATATTTTGCATTTTGAGCTGTTTTTTTAGAAGTTTTTAGTTGTTGGTTTTTCTCTTTTAAGTTTCTTGTATTATGTGTTTGACACTGCAATTTCTGCAATATTTTAGTAGCTGTTTTTTCTACTTTTAGCTGCTGATATTTTGTGTTTGAAACTGTAGTGTTTACAGTTTTTGGCTACTATTTTGTTGCTTTTAGGTGCTGGATTTTTGTGTTTTAAGTTGTTTCTACTATGATTATATCTACTATTTTTTCAATTTTTAGTTGCTGATTTTGTGAGTTTTAAGCTGCTGTTTCTGCAGATTTTTGGTTGTTGTTTTTTTAGTTTCAGGAGCTTATTTTTTATGGTTAAGATGTAGTATTTGCAGATTATTAGTTGCAGATTTTGTGAGTTTTAAGCTGTTGTTTCTGCAGATTTTTTGTTGTTGTTTTTTTAGTTTCAGGAGCTTATTTTTTATGGTTAAGATGTAGTATTTGTAGGTTATTAGTTGCTGATTTTGTGAGTTTTAAGTTGCTGTTTCTGCAGAGTTTTGGTTGCTATTTTTTTAGTTTTAGGTGCTTATTTTTTATGGTTAAGATGTAATATTTGCAGGTTATTAGTTGCTATTGTTTGGAGTTTTAAGCTGCTGTTTCTGCAGATTTTTTGTTGCTGTTTTTGCAGTTTTTAGCTATTATTTTGTTGCTTTTAGGTACTGAATTTTTGTGTTTTAAGTTGTTGTTTCTACTGTGATTTATCTACTATTTTTTCAATTTTTAGTTGCTGATTTTGTGAGTTTTAAGCTGTTGTTTCTGCAGATTTTTGGTTGTTGCTTTTTTAGTTTCAGGTGATTATTTTTTATGGTTAAGATGTAGTATTTGCATATTATTAGTTGCTGATTTTGTGAGTTTTAAGTTGCTGTTTCTGCAGAGTTTTGGTTGCTATTTTTTTAGTTTCAGGTGCTTATTTTTTATGGTTAAGATGTAGTATTTGCAGGTTATTAGTTGCTGATTTTGTGAGTTTTAAGCTGTTGTTTCTGCAGATTTTTGGTTGTTGCTTTTTTAGTTTCAGGTGATTATTTTTTATGGTTAAGATGTAGTATTTGCATATTATTAGTTGCTGTTTTTTGGCGTTTTCAGTTGCTGTTTCTGCAGATTTTTGATTGCTATTTTTTTAGTTTCAGGTGCTTATTTTTTATGGTTAAGATGTAGTATTTGTAGGTTATTAGTTGCTGTTTTTTGGCGTTTTCAGTTGCTGTTTCTGCAGATTTTTGATTGCTATTTTTTTAGTTTCAGGTGCTTATTTTTTATGGTTAAGATGTAGTATTTGCAGGTTATTAGTTGCTGATTTTGTGAGTTTTAAGCTGCTATTTCTGCAGATTTTTGGTTGTTATTTTTTTAGTTTCAGGTGCTTATTTTTTATGGTTAAGATGTAGTATTTGCAGGTTATTAGTTGCTGTTTTTTGGCGTTTTAAGCTATTGTTTCTGCAGAATTTTGGTTGTTGTTTTTGCAGTTTTTAGCTACTATTTTGTTGCTTTTCTGTGTTGAATTTTTGTGTTTTAAGTTGTTGTATCTACTGTGATTTATCTACTATTTTTTCAATTTTTAGTTGCTGATTTTGTGAGTTTTAAGCTGCTGTTTTTGCACATTTTTTGTTGCTGTTCTTTCAGTTTCAGGGGTTTAAGATGAAGTTTTAAGCTGTTGTTTTTGGCTGAATCTTTTTTAACTTCTTATGAAATTAATTGATTCATTCTATTGGATTTGAAATATTGAATTGCCAAGATGCCAAAGTTCAAGCGTTTACATAATAAACAAAACTCAGATCAATTAGTATATGATTCTCAAGGTGCGGAATCAACACATTCATTTCTCTAATCAACATCATGTCTGCCACCACATCAGACCACATCATTTCTGGCCACAACACATTGAGTCCTACTATTTCAGCCGACATTACAGGCGCCTCCAATATTTCAGCCTGTATCACAGTCATCTCAATCAGTTGACTCAGCATCACATTCAGCTACGATGGATCAACTTATGTCACAACTGGCTCCAACAGCTTATCCTACATCACAACCATCTCATTTAGTTCACTCAACATCACATCCAGCTTCAACAGAACAAGACTCGTCACAACAAGTTCCAACAGTTTAAGCTCTATTCAAAAAGCGTATTGGGCGTGAATCACAGTCATATTGGACTGTAGAAGCAATAGGTAAATAATTTTGAGTATCAGCACATATTCAATAACCATTATTTGTTTCTCTTATAGCTTCAATTTATATTTGTTTTTATTACAGATTCAGAAAACAATGTCAAAAGGCTCAAAGTAAAAAAAACATATGTGCTTAATTTATCAGGTGATGAACTTATTGTGGTTAATTTTGATTACCTGAATGAATCATTTGGAGAGGCTCGTAGCCTTCTTTCAGGCTTTTGTGGAATTTTAGCATGTGATTGCTCTTTATTTCCAATCAACTTTGAGAAGTGGTCGAGTGTGCCTATGTCATACTTAAATCGTGTCTTCAATCAAATTATAAAGGTATAAGCTTATAACTAGACTGTTACTCTATTTTACTTTTTGGTGAGAAAGATAATTGGTAATTTCAATATTATATTTACAACCAATAGATAAGCTAACTAATATTTTTTTCTTGAAGCCCAAGTTCTCCTTTAAGACAACAGAGTCAAATGCGCGGCAACATATTTATAAATCTATTGGAAAGAAGTGGGCTGCAAATAAGAACAACTTGTGAAAGTTAGTCGAAGACCCACTTAAAAGTAAGGTTGAGATTATTGATAATGTGCCAGATGGAATTCCACGAGATCAATGGATTTCTTTTGTTGATTACCAATATAAAGATTCAACAAAGGTACTTATGTTACTGTTTTTACTAGTCTTTATTATCATGTAGCTATTTGATTTTTTTAATTAAGTTTCGTATATTTTTTATAAGGAAATGAGTAGAAGAAATACTGAAAATCGAAAAAAACAGACAATTCCACACACAGGTGTCTCCTAAGAAAATGCTACGAGAAGGGCAGTAATGGTGATTAGTAAATTAACTTATTATGTATTCATTTTTGAGTAGTAAATTATTCTTATTTAGATTTTTTATCTATAGATGGCTGAAACAGGATAAAGACATGGACGAGCACAAATATATATTGCTACTCATAAAAATAAAGATGGAGTATATGTTAATGACGCTGCAAAAGAAATATGTGTAAGTTTCTTCATGAATTCTAATTGTATTTCAACAAGATAAAAAAAAAAGATAGGGCAATAGTTGTGAACTAGTTGATTAATTGATGGAGGTTATATAGACTCAATTCTTTGCTATTTAATTGTACTATGATGGCTTGTGGTCCCATACCTCTAACTACTCATGTTCTTATTACGTGTACATATAAGTAGTTTTTATCTTTCTGTCTTTACTAAGGTGATTTCAATATTACTGCTTGTTTATTTGCGGCATTGATTTTGTATGTATAGGAAAAAATTAAGCTAACTTTGAGACAAAGTACAATGGATGAGTCTCAAATTTCGCCAAATGATGTTGTTGATAAGGTTTTAGGAAAAGAGCACTCTGGAAGGGTTAGATGTTTGGGATTAGGAGTTGTCCCCAGTAAAGTTTTTAAACAAGTAAGATCGTGTTTTGGTGGTGCAAGTGCTTCAAGTAGTGAAGGCTCATGTTCGTCCCAATGCCAAGAGAACCACAATCAAATGATGAATGCTTGTAAGGTGTATATGATAATGAAAGAACGGATGATACCAGAACAATTTGCGGGGTTCTTTGCTTCTCCTTCGACAAATTCTTCTACAACAAATGTAAGTATTGTTCTTACATTTCTATTTTCATTTGATTTGTATATTGCTTCTCCTTTCTTTAATGCATTTTTTGTTGACATATATTAACTAATGATAAGTATAGTTTAAAACATAATATTTGCCAAGAATTTTACATTTTTTCATATCACTTAATTAATTTTATACTTTATTTTTTTATGCAGCCAAGTGATGCTGCTAGTGAACCAATTCCGCCTATGCACACAAGAAGATCATGCAGTGGTGATAGTAATCCTAGCCATGACAACCGTTGATTATATTGTAGTGAACCAATTCCGCCTATATTCTTAGCTAATTAATTTGATGACAAGATTGTGTGATTGGAGGGGATGTTAAAATGTTGGATTGGATATTTTGTGTTTAGATTTAGTGTTTGATTTTGATGAACATATTTGATGTTGACAATATCATTTTAGCGACTAATGATAATGCAATATTTTTGTGACTTTATGATATGTCGTTAAAGAATATATATTCTTCACCTTGAAACATATTTTCAATTTGATTATGGTCTATAGCTTAATTAGTGATTCTATAAATAATATATGAATAAAAGTATATTGAATGAATTGTAGAGCTTATGTGATTGCTCAGATTTTTCAATATAAGCAATTGCAAAATTGTGGAGGTTTTAAACCCCCCGCTATTTGTAACTGAAAAATAATATCAAAAGATTTAATTTTAAATTAGCGTGGGTCGACCTCCGCAAAGTAACCCCCGCTAATTGATTGTGGGGGTCAAAGAAAAACTGCCGCAAATTGCTTGCGACAACTCTTATTGTGGGAGTTTTTACAACTGCCACAATACTAGATTGCGGGGGTTTTAAACCCCCACAAACCTTAAAATTAACCCCCGCTATTTAAGCATTTTTTTGTAGTGTGAATTTCGGGCGACTACTCTCCACCCTCAAGAAGGCTTTTTAGTGGATCCATAAGGCTTCTGTTCCTTTCTTGTAGGTTTTGCATTGTTTAGTTGCTATGATTTCTACATTATTTTCTTCCTCTTTGTACTTAGATTTGCGATATTTGAGTCGAGGGTCTTTCAGAAATAGCCTAGCGTGAGTGACATTTCACCCCTAATCACAACTCACCCGCTGATTCTTCAACTTCAATCAATCGGACCTCCACTTAGTTTCACCTCTCTACCTTTATGAGAAGATCTACATGACTGCATACACTTTATTCTTCTCAGATTCCACTAATAAAATATCATTAAATATATTATCATTGTTATTGTATTCTTAAATGATATTATAAATATGAAATTATCCACAAAATATGACGACCAAGGAGGGGTAACAGCTCATAAATCAAGAAAAGAAAACATGTGGTTTGGAAAGGCAGAAAACGTATCTAGTGTGAAACGACAGACCTCGTGCAGAGGTAAATAAAAAAATGCACACACTAAGATGTGAAATAGATATAATATATTAGTTTTATCAGTCCTGTTGCCTGTTGGCTTGGGGATGTGTATTTGTACAATAACACTTAGATTTAGCATATCTACCACCAATTCATCAATGTCTAGCCCATACCATCATGCAACAAACCAAGCTGGCAAGTGGCAACTAACTGGTCCAGCACCATCAATATCCTACCATTAATTAATACAAATTATCGTGATTTCTAAATGTAGTTATCTCAAATTAAAAAAATAATTATTGTTTTTCTTCATTTAATTTTTAGTAGTAATTATTCTTAAAATTATGCGCACATTCATTAGAGATGATGACACAATATAATAGAATAAATATTCAAGAAAGAAAAACTATAACTTAAGGTATGATTGTCAAAATCCTCCTTAATTATGCTATTTTTTTAAGGCAGGTATAAAAGAGAAACATGAGATCATTTGAGACGGATGAAACATATATCCATCTAACTTTCATGTGCACATGCATTGATATATATATATTAACCCTCCACCCAAGAGCTTTCATGGTGACTCGAACTCACAATCGAGGATTATTTTGCATATTAGGGTAGAAGGTTATAAGTAGATATAGGCGGAAGCATAATATGTACTATATCT